TCACGGGTTTGTTTAGCTCTTAAACAAACATTACACAACTCACTGTGTGTTTCTTGACTAGCAATTTTATTTTTAATAGTAGGAAGCAAACTAACAACTCGTTTTGAGGGGTGTCCCATTCGCATGTGCCACAGCTCATATGAGTCCACCTTCGCCAATCTGCATGCACTAGTCCTTGCCACACAACGCCAAAGATAGACCCCATCACGTTTCTCACCCACACCAATCACTGTCCTCGGAGTGGGGTCCTGCATTACACACATTTTTTCAGAAAACGTGACTGTACATTTTAATTCATCGATAAATTGAGACACAGATATCAAATTGCAATTCAAGTTGGGAACATATAAAACATGTTTTAAGATCAATTATTTCCCAAGCTGCACTTCTCTTTCTTGCAATGCCATCATATTCTTTCCGTCAGGAAGTCCAACAACACAATGAGGGATTTCACGCACATTCTTCAATAATTTCAATTTCCCGATCATATTGGGAGAACATCCCGAATCTATCAACCACATTTTCTTACCCGTCAATTTCTCTGAAGTGGATTCCTTGTGTGAATTGATCACCGCCATTAGCGTTGCCCACTGCTCATCATTAAGCCCGGGAAAGGCAACTTTATCGCTAGTCCGGATAGTAGCAGCAGTGGTGCTGGCGCCGTAGCTTCCTGGTGTCTGGACAGCATTGGCAGCCACTGTACCAGACCCTCCTCGACCCCTTCCCGTTCCTGTGCCTTGACTTCCTCTTCCCCCACTACCACCAGAACGACCTCCTTTGCCTGCAAACCACCAATCTGGGTAGCCCACAAGTTGAAAGCATTCTAGCACCTCATGTCCAGTTTTTCCATAGTGAGAGCACATCTTCTCATCCTTGTTCGGTGCTTTGGCTCTATTTCCAGTTTGCACAGCAAATCCCATAGCCTCTACTCGTTCTTCGCGTGCTCAAGCCACCGTTTTGTGCCGTTCTTCTTGCACAATTATTGCATGTATTCGGTTCAATGAAGGTAAAGGATCTGTACTCAGAATATTTGATCTAACAGTGCCATAAACTGCACTGCCCAGACCCATGAGAAATTGATGAATTTTCTCCTTTTTCCGCTCAAACGCCAGCTCGGTCACCGCTCCACACTTGCATCCACCACACGTACATTGTGGGTTCTTCACATACCCAGCCAACTCCTCCCACATGGTCTTCATCTTCCCATAATATGCGGATACAGTCATGCCCTCTTGTTTGCAATTGGCCAAGTCACTCTTTAATTGGTGAATCCGCAAATCATTCCCAATAGTAAACCGTTCCCGAAGATCCTCCCAAAATTCCTTTGCTGTCTCCATGTAGAAGAATGTAGATTGTAGCCCCAGTTCTATGGTATTGAATATCCATGCTACCAACATGGAATTCACACTATACCAATCTTCTAATTCGCTGGGATCGTCACCAGGTTTCGTCACAGTTCCTTCAAGAAAAGCCAGTTTCTTCTTCGCCCAGAACGCGTTCTTCATGGCTTTGGCCCATTCATCATAATTATCGCCTTTCAAGATGATCATGGTCACGACCAAGCCGGGGTTGTCATGCGAACCGAGATAATAAGGGGATTTCGGATCAAGGGTTGGTAGTTTCGCACCATGGCCAGCCGCTCCTTCTCCTTTGTTTTTATCAGCCATGGTGTACGCATGGCTCTTATACCATAAAGAATAATTGCAAAGGTCAATGCTCAAAAAGAATGGTAACTCTTGTATTAATCAATGGAGGGGACAACCAATATATATACAATTACATCAAGACTAAAATTAGCAAGACTAAAATCAGCAATATCCTAATCAATGGAGGAGCAAATATTCTAACTTCCTAAAACTCTGTAAGCACAATATCTTTCTAAATATGTACAATATCTCTATTATTATGCAAAGGGCTCTCTAGGCTTCACTATCAGCCGTGAAAGGTTTGCAGATGTAATGTTCGTTGATGGCTGTTTCCTTGTTTTTTTCATATGCAGGGGAAGTCTGATCTGTTGGACTTAAGAAGTGATGCTATAGTTTCAGTAACAAGAGATTTGTTCTTGCTGGAGAACCTGCTTCCATTTCTAGTCATCCGTACTTTGATGAGTTTCGTTTTCCCCCAAAATGCAGGCAACGGAATGCTGAACGAGTTTGTCGAAGTAGCCAACCGTTTGGTTTCAGAAGATTATTACAGGTATCGGAATATGTACATGTATATGAGTTTCTACATGTAATATATGTACAAGTATATATTAATTTTAAATTCTGGTTCCAATTTTTTATTTGTAAAAAATATTAAAAATTGCAATTGAGGCCAGAAAAGGGTTTTTTGAAATAAATAATAGGGCAAGGTGCCATAACACATAGATCTTGAAAAGTTACACATTTGATAAAAAAAAAGCACCACCTCAATATTTGACATTAGAATACAAAGTTATGACCTCCCAAAATTTGCATACACATTTAATGTATAACAAGTGACCCAGCCACTATGTAAAAGTAACGCCCTTGGCTGGACATGAGTTTGGTTTGGTGAATAATGGCAATTTCATTTTTAAAATTTTATTAATTAATTAAATTTAAATTAAATTATAGCTCCCGAAAGTCTTTCTCCTCGTCTCTCCTACTTGGATTCTTTTATTTTAATTTGTTATTATTCTTTTGAATGAAAAAAATTAAAACAAAAGAATAAAACTAAAAATAACTAAGTGGTTTTCTTTAAAGAAAGCATAAGTCAAGTACATATATGATACACCACACACTTCACAAGTTTTATGTAACAGGTTACAATTTAAGGCAGAATGGCAAGAAAAAGAAAATAGAGAAAGTTTAGATGGGTATTTTGGTTATTTAATGCCTTTTGTCATCTAACTTAACAGCCAAGGGGGTATTTGTCGCAATGTAAAAGTTCAAGGAATCTTTGTTGCAAATTAAAGTATAGGGAGTTTGTGGCTAACCCTATTGTACAGGGGGCTTTGTAATTTACCCTTTTTAAATTTCTCTTTTTTTTTCCTTTTTTGTTATCAAAATTGCATAACTAGGTCGAATTGATCAAATCATATTGGTCCAATATGGCATGAACTAGTAATTGAGGTTAGTGAGTGGAATGCTTTCGAGTATTCAAATTACCATGGTTTTTGAACCATCGTTGACCTGGTCGGTTAGACCGTTCGGCCGAAGAACTGTCCAGACAATCGGTTCCGTTTTACCCCAAACTCGGTCCATGCCAAAAATTGTTAAATCAGTCAATGACCCATTGACCCTGGCGGTCGAACCGTCGATTCGTTGACTTATTCAACGGTTTTGACTATTTTTTATTTTTAATTATTTTTTTTTTATTTTTGATAGAACGAGCCATTTGTTTGAACTGGACAGTCGAACCGTCGATTAGAAACTAGTGGCTAGAATGGTTCCTTTTCCAAATCGTATTTTAAGACCATGCAAATTACTCAAACCTACTATTTTTTTGAAAATTGCATAATCTGGTCAAACTAATCAAACCAAATTGTTCTAGTTCAAGTATTCAAATAACCCAACCCATTAACTTCATCTTCTTGATACATAGCAATTTTTAGGCCTCTTGGCCCATTTCTTCTTTTTCTTTCTTCTAATCCTAGGAATCTAACAAAATTGGCAATCATCTTGAAAAATTCAGTTCAAAGCAATGGCACCATAAGACAAAGGGAACAATTCTTGTTCACCAAAAAGGAATTTTAGAAAATTAGTAGTGAAACTTTCATATAATTTATTAAAAAAAATAGTGAGTTTCAACAGAATATTTTTGAAAATATAATAGAAAAAATATTTTATTGAAAGAAAAAGAATAAGTATATTAGAAAAAATATGGATTTGATCCTATGGTTTGATCTATTTTCTATAAGAAATTGTTTTTTTTTTGTCATTTATTTAATATGACCAGGTCCAAATGGTTGATGTAATTTGCACAAGTTGGAATTTTTTATCAACAGAAAAGGAATTTTAATTAATTGAAGATTAGAAATTACACAAGACATGGGGTGTAGGTTCCACCCATTCACAATGGCTCAAGCCTGAATTCCAAATGTTAGAAATTACACAAGGAATTTTTTTTGTCATTTATTTAATTGAAGATTAGAAATTACACAAGACATGCATATATATGTAAAATTTTAGAGTGGATTAATTGACCAATCTAAACCTGGCCCAGGCCTGAATTCATCAAATTACAATGCAGGTTAGGCTCAAGTTGGAAAAATCGGACTTGATCTCAGGCTTAATCCACCCTAAGCCCAAACTTTAAGACTGGGACTGAGTTGACCATAAATCCGGCCCAACTCGCCCTACTTGCACCCCTAACATTAAAGCATTATAGCACACCAAGCATAGAGAGGTATATTTTTTCTGAATTAATGCATAATAAAGGGTGTTCTAATCAGTACCTACCAAGGGTTTGATTTATGCACCCATTTATTATATAACATTCTTAATTTCTTGTTGTTTAGAAGACAAGATTCTTGGGTTTATGTGCCACTTCTTTTTCTTTTATCCCCAGAGGGATATATAGATTTGTATGTTTAGTATGCCACCTCATTCATTAATTCGATGATGTAATTCCATCACCCTTTACAGTAATTTTAATATTTTATAAATATTTCAATTAATGATTAATTTAAATTTTGAAAGATATGGATAATTATCTTTCAAAAGCATTATTAATATCATATATTTTTATTAAAATATTCTGATTTAATTTTTATAATTTGAATGTGAACTTGTGAAGCAAGGCTAAGTATAGAAAATGTAAATTTCTGTAAAACGAACAAAAAAAAATGGAGTCACATGTGAATTATTTACCTACCAACTGTTTGTCATTTTTAGTGAATTATTTCGTTTACAATAATATAATAATGTTTCGCCAACCAGCTGTTTGTCATTTATTGAATTTATTTCGTTTGCTCCAAACTGACAATATAAGTTTCAGTAGGGTAGTAATCAATCTCAAACTCGAACCTTAACCAATCGAATATGGTGGTATTGTGGTAATCAGCGAGCGACGTCCGAGAGAGACAGAGAGAATGAGAGCTCTGGGAAACGAGATAGACACCATGTTCTGTAAGTTCAAATTGTTATTATAGCCTTGTTCTTATTCCTTCGTTTCATTTGTAAATTTAGGTTGAAGCATTGAGGTTTAACTTACCACCAGTTATATCGTTTAGTCCGTAATATAAACCATAAAAAGACTAGGAGTCTATTAGGACCGATGAAGCTCACAGGGCTATCAGTCTCACCAGTCCAATTGCCGGGTGCAATCCAAGTCTGGTAATACTAGATAGAGGATCTCCAATTTTTTTCTTTATTAGCTGTGCTCTTTCTTTTTGAATGTTTTTGTCATTTCAATTTCTAACAAAAGACTGTATCGGAATTTATCTCCACCTCTTTCCTATTTTCTTTATGTTTATGCACATAATCTTAAGCCTTTATTCATGTAAATTTCTTAAACTACCCTAATCGTTTAACTAATTGATTAAATATATTCCTACTTATTGAAAATTAACTGTCTCTATCCCTTGTCTTGTTTCTTTCGGACAATTGTCTAAATCTTCCTTTACCGTCATAATAACTTTCAAATTTCCAATGTGCCATCACGTCACTATTATAATTTTAAAAAAATCCAAAATGACTCATTTATGTTCAAAAATGCCCTTTCAAATATCCCATCATGTAACCCTTCAAGCCTGCCTTAAAATACCCTCATAGGGTTGAACCACTCACCCGTATGGACTCGAGGGGGAGAAGGGGAGTCTCCAGCACCGGCACCGCTGTTTGAGTTTGAAGACTCTCGCATGGCGACTGTGCACATCTGAATTTGTATTAGCACGAGGGAAGCACGAGAATTGCCACACAGGAAGTACGAGAGGTAGTGCTTAGGTTTGAAAACTCTGGCATGGCAACTGTTTCCCCTGCCTGGCTGACTATTTCCCTCTCGTCTCGTCTGTACAGAAATCGAAGACAAGCCAGTAAATGGCTCCACTTCTTCCATTCTTCCACTTCTCCTCTCCCTCTCGTCTCGTCTGTACAGAAATCAAAGGCAACCCAGTAAATGGCGCCATTCTTCCATTCTTCCATTCCTCTCCCTCTCGTCTCGATTGTACAGAAATCAAAGACAACCCAGTAAATGGCACCATTCTTCCATTCTTCCACTCCCCCTCTCCCTCTCGTCTTGTCTGTACAGAAATCAAAGACAACCCAGTAAATGGCGTCATTCTTCCATTCTTCGACTCCTCCTCTCCCTCTCCCTCTCCCTCTCGTCGCGTCTACATGGCGCCATTCTTCCACTGTTCACCTTACCGGGCTGCCTAGCGACTGTTCACCTTATTGTGCTGCTGCTGCTGGTACAGGGAAGCCATTAAATGGCGCCCATAGGGAAGTCAAATCCGTGTTAAGTACACTATACACCATTAGACCAAAGAGAGCAAGCGACTTTAGCAGACTGTGTAGAGCTGACGGATTTGACCATCGATTTCTTCTGAGCAACTGCTCCGGCAAGTTTAGAGAGAACTTATATCCCACTTTATGGTTTGAGAAAGAGTGATAAATAATAGGGAAGGGAAGGGGAGGTGGAGGCAGAGACGAGACAGAGATCATTGGGTTTTGATGAATCAGCGTTTTTTTTTTTTGTCTTTCTGTTAGCAGACGTTACTAGTAAGGAAAGTATTAATCAGTTGTAAGAAACAGCGTGAGTAGCGACAAGACAATTTTCAAACAGTAAGGATACATTTGGTCAATAGTTAAACCATAAGGATAGTTAAATTTACCCTTAATTTTATTTGCTAGTTGTGCTGATCTTAGAATCAATTGTGATCTTATGAGTATTATCTATATCTTTGATATCTAATGTAAAACATACAAATAATGAGTGTACCCAAGGATTTGACAAGACAATGGAAGTCCAAATAATGAGGTTTGGTTAGTGATTTTTTCCCTTGTTATTCGTCCACTGTGCTCTAATTTCTGCATTTCAGTGGCTTATTTAGTACTTTTGATGAAATTTTAATTACAAATCTTGAAATCATGCTCAATTACTCCAGTTTCCTTTTTCTTGCCCTCCAAAAGATTTGTATTGCCAGATTATTGAGACGTGGCTGGTAGGGGTATTTATTGTATGATCCAAAAGGAAAAATTGAACCGAATCAAACTGAATTTGAAGTTGTTCGGTTCTATCTGAACCTGAAAATGGTTTGCTTGGGTGTGACGTTTTCCTAAATTATGGTTTACAGTTTTGGTTTTGTTTATTTGGTTTATTAGATTTTATAAATTAAACCAAATCATAAATTGAAATAATATTGTTAGAGAATATCAACCTATTCAATGATTTATCTAACAACTTAAACTTTTAAGCTGAATGGTTCTTTGAGAAATATAAATATTTATAATAAATTATTTTTTTATAATAAAATAAAAGTTCTAACTTTTCTCTTTCTAACCTCTCGAGACACTGGTATGTATAAAATACATGCACATAAAAAAAAAAAAAAAAACTGCAAGAGTGTAGGGGTGTTATTTGGACTTTCTAATGGAATTAAGCCTAATAGAAGCATAAAATGACCGAAACCGTATTTGAAACAGCTCCAAACTGTTATAAAACGGTTTGGTCTGGTTTGGTTTCCATACCAAAACAATTTGGTTGATGGTTTGCTGTAAAACGGTTTGGTCTGGTTTGGCTTGATCTGAGATCATTTTTCAAACCGCGCCAAACAGAACTGATCTGATATTGAAATTCCAATTCTGAATCAGATCTGTATATATGTATTATTATATTGTATATAATCGAACTTGATTTTATTGGAAACCACCAATAACAAGACTTAAAGTTTGCATTAAGTCTTATATGAAAGTATTAACTCTTAATATTTTCATTAAATCATGTTATTAATTAAAATATTCCTATTTTTGAATAGGTTATGTGTGGGCAGAAAATACAATTAGAACTATTACTTTTTCACCACATTCAATTATTTCTACTTTTTCAATCACATAGTTAAAAATTAGAGAAAATCAAAGACACTTGCTGGTCTTTAAAGAAAACCTGAATTTTTGAAACATTTTTTGTATGTATTTTTCCCAATAATCTTCTTCCACTTAGCTGTGTGGTTTCTGATGAACAACAGGAGGGCGGATAAACTTGATTTTAAGCTGATTTAAACTCTAACCATAAATCCCAATGACCGAGAAACGCAAGAGAATGATGGATGAGGCAATGGAAAACCCCATTTCCTTATTTAAAGCAAGTGCACCTTCAACTGTGAGGAAAGATCTGCCAAACCCATTTAATGCAATATTATTTTCATGGCAAAAAGAATTTAAATGGAACTGGAGCACCCTACTGGGTGACCATTCCACTGATGAATGGTTATCAGAAATAATTGGAGACAAGGAAGGAACCACTCAATCTGATACGAAGGTACTAATGCGAGAGGTTCCAAGGATAATGCAAGAGATCAAAGAAAACGAGAAGTGCTATCGTCCTGAAGTGATTTCTATCGGCCCTTATCACCACGGAGGTGGTGAGAAAGAGAAACACAAGATCAGAATAGCGTGTAAGTTGGCTTCAGAGGATAAAATCAAAATGACGAACTTGTACGTGGAGGTGGAAAAGAGAGCTCAAGATGCAAAGAGAGATTATCTCGATACTTCTGAAAATTTCAGGGAGAATGAATTTGCACGTATGATGTTCTTGGATGGGTGTTTCATTGTCTATTTTATTTACTGTGTTGCAAAAGACAGGCTCGAGGATATGGAGATGAAAAATGACGATATATTCTTTGCAGCAAAAGACTTGTTCTTGATGGAGAATCAGCTCCCATTTTGGGTTCTCGAGGAATTAGCGAGCTTGGCATATCCCGACGAGGATTGGATGAAAATGGTACGCAAGTTTGTTAACGCAACTAATTCTTTGGTTGCCGAAGATGTTAAGTTTGATTCGAGCAATCCTCAGAACAGTGAGTCTAGTCAGAGCAAAAGAACTAAACCTCATCATCTCCTTGACCTTCTTCGTACCAAACTCCTTGAAGAAAGTAATGAAACAGATGGACCCAGAAAAGGAAGATCCGATTGGTTACCCCCAAATCCCTTTACGCTATGTTCTTTCAGAGATTCATCCCTGCCCCTCACTACCAAGGATCAAACATTGCAGAGATACCAACAACAAACAAGCTGTGCCTGGCTCAGTAACATGTTCGGATCTCGTCTTTCCAAATGTTGTTGTTGTTGTCGTCCAAATTGGAGGGAGCAATTCGTGTGGCACAAGTTCAGGTCAGTCAAAGAGCTTAAAGCAGTAGGGATCAAATTCAAAATGAGCAAATCATCTAGCCTCAAGAGTGTTCGTTTCCGACTTGGTTTCATCTATGGCTACGTGTATCTTCCTGCACTGGTTGTTGATCGTTCAACCAAGGCGAGATTTCTGAATTTGATAGCCTATGAAAGATGTTTAGCTGGTGGTTCTGAAGAAAAGTTAGGCACTGTTTTAAAAACCGAACCGGAACTAGAACTACTTTGTCCACCGGTTCCTGGGCGAAATTGTCCGACTGTCCCGGACAACGACGTTTCCAAAACACTAAAGTTAGGAATAACTTCCTACATATGTTTCCTGGATTCACTAATTGATGATGCTGATGATGTGAAAGAGCTAAGATCAGACGGTGTACTCTTCAATTATCTTGCTAGTGACAAAGAAGTGGCCGACCTCATAAACGAGCTAGTAAAGGGTTTGGTGGATTCCGATCAATTTGATCAGGTTAAACTGGAAATTCAAGATTATTGCAAGAGAAAGATCAGGCCATGGGTAGCTGAAGTGTTGATTAAACATTTCAAAACCCCTTGGACTATCCTCGCTCTACTTGCACCCATCTACTATGTAGCATTTTCAGTTTCATTGGACTTCTATAAATTCAGACATTGGTCGAACTTCGTATTCTCCATTCCAACTATTTAAGATTTAAAAGCATGTCTGAACTTGATCTAAACATTGTATTCTAAATGATTATTTATCTTATAAAAAGCGAGAATAAAAATCTCAAGAGAATTCTAAAATTAAGAAAAAAATCAAAATGGTAAACCTGATTTCAAGTCAGGTTTCAAGTTGTCGAGCAAATGCAGACCTAAATCCACGTCTGAAGTATCACTTCTAAATGATTTCTATCCTTGAGTTCTAAGTTTGAAATAGAATGGTAGGTTTTTGGTTTGGTTTCAGATCTGGTTTGGGATTGACAAGAATTGAGACCTAAAGGGATGCATATCCTTACACTAGGAAACTGAATCCATTGTAACTTGTAAGAGTAGTAGTCTCTATTTGTTTTTTTTTTTTTTTTAAATAAAAAACACAAAATTCTAAAGTGGTTGAAAAGAAAAAGAGAGTAAGATTTGTGACAATGGACATCTGAAACGGGAAAACGGGTTTGAACCCAACAGAATCGGAAACCTCATTTGATCATTGGTTTATCGGTTAACCATCTGGCTAGATTGTTAAGTTAAGACCATGAAAATTGTCCAATAACAATAGGGCTATGCTATAATAGGGGTTGGATTCGGATTGGATTCATCTAGCATCCGAATCTGATCTCATTACTGAATTTTCAAATAAAGAATAAAGAAAAATTAAAAAATTAATTATTATAATATAATCAGGCTCAAATTTTTATGGAATCCGCATCCAATGCAATTAATTACTAATAGATGTAGGTTTTAACATGCAAATACGAGTAATCTGATCGGATATCGGATTTTTTTGAAGTAATCACAGCCCAAAAACCATCAACATCACTTATTCCCTTTCTTGGATTTTATTGGACGTAGTTCAGGAAAGTTCAGGTTTGACGACCAACCTTGCACCCACTACCTGGGAAAAGCATTCCAAACTTTATTCGTTCATTGCGACAAAACCTAATCTTTACTGAATTAATTCTTGTCTAAATTAACAAGCTTGGTATCTCCGAATAAAGTAAATTCCTTCATCACTACCTTTACTCCATTCTACTTCTACTTCAGTTTAAACTTAGATCATACGCTGTGCATTAAAATGAAAAATGCACGCTACTGTGATCGAAGTGTGAACAAACAAGAGCACAACTCTGAACTCTCCTTCCTCTTAGTATTGCAGCAACAACAACAACAGAACAAATCCAGGGCTTTGTTATCTCTTGATGGGTGAGGAAAGAAAGAGTGTGAGTATTGAGATCACATAGAACTCTATTTCCAGTCCAAACAATGGTGGCGATTTTATCAAAACTGCCGCCAATGAATTAAACCAAGGAAACCGTTAAAACAGGGTGGCGGTTAAGTGAACTAAACCAGCGGTATTCGCATTAAACCAGCCGGTCATAATTAAATTGTTCTTAGATCGACTGGTTCAATGCTTTCCCTCCATTGATTTCTAAAATCATGGAGCCGATTTCTGCTCCGTCCGTCTTGGGAGAGAGCAACGACTCCTCCGCTACATGGGAAGAGCAACGATTTCTCTCCCACACAACTCTACTTCTTTACTTTCTCTCTCACACAACAATGGAAGGTTTCCTTTGATCGGGAGTCTGAATTGATCTCTATTTATATTCAATCGGCGCAGAGCTGTGAAATTCAACAGAGAAGTCGAGAAAGGTAAGTTCATCGACCCTTGTAGTTTTTATACCCCATTTTTGTTTCTCAATTAATTATAAAACCCTAATCGTGCTTTTTTTCATCGTAGGGCTTCAACAACTGCTGCTCTACACTCCTAGTACATAGAAGAACAAGGAAAGGGCGGAAGAAGCTTCTTCTTTTATTTACGTTTTCTTACTTGATTGGAGAAGGGCTCCGCTTTACTGGTTAGTGAATAATTTTCAGTTTGAATCTCTCCAGTTCTCCATAAATAAGTTATTTACATTTTTTGCTTTTCTTGCTTTGGTTCTAATATGAAGATGAGTATCGTAGATCAAGTATGTGAATGCAGAATCCTGAATTATGGCTGATCTAGAATCATAGGAAAAAAAAACAGAACAAGTCTACAATTTTCAGATGATTTAGAATAAATGGATTAATTTTCCGCATAAGATATGACCCAAGCTGCCAGAGTAGCTTATACCACTTCTTGATGAAGTTAGAAAATCATTGTAAATCTGAAATGTATTTGGAAAAAAGAATGTTGTATATTAGCAGAACTTGCATAGAGGAATTATATCTGTAAGAGAAATATATCAAGAATAAAAGAAAGATTTCAAATTAACTTTCTTACTGTTGCATAGAGGAATTATATCCTTTTTTCATAGAGCATTCAGGTAATTAACTTTCTTACTGTTGTTTCTGTTATTCCAATTATAAAGATTTCAAATTGTTTAACACATTCCTAGTTTCATCACTTTGTGGATGAGGTGATGGCTTTTGCATTAACTGCATATTGATTTCAGACATTATGGTTTCTATCTTGACTACCACTTGTTCTGTTCCATATAAAGTAGTTATGTTTACAGCTCTTCTTGATACATATATGGATAGGACTCAACAATCAAGCTATTATATATGAGTAGGATATTATCAAAAAAAATATGGTAAGATGCTTTTCTTGTTTAGTAGCTTGCAAAGGCAAAGAAAAAGCTGTGACCTTAATGGGCAGGCCCACAGGGTTATGCATTTGTATTATTTAACTTAAGAGGCAAAACCTTTACAGTAAATTGTAAATGAACAGAATATTGTTCTCTGCTCGATAATATGGATCTCTAAGAAAGTAGTTATTTGATTATTTTACCTAGAAAGCACATTATGAAGATTCTGTCCTCTTTATTCACATTATCATTTGGAAATATTTCCTGGGTTTTTTTTTTTTTTTTGTGCTGATATGATGGACTCACTGTACTGGGAAGCAGTGAGATGTGCAGATGTTAAAGGGGAGAAAGATGGTTCAGCCCAGGGTCAGAATTTATAGGCTCAAAGTACTGTTGGGGTAGGTGCCAGCTTGGAATTGATGCCAATTCACGGGCGGGCGTTGGTGCATAGAGTGTGGTTTGTTGACATTTTGAATGTTTATAGCTCTGCAGTGGAAATCAGAAATCTACATTGGGCCTGTTCGTACTTTTCTGGATGTTAAAGAGATTGCTGATGCCATCAAAGAACAAGGAAGTTGTTATAATTCATAAACTGAAAAAAGGGAAACCGACCATTCCAACCCATGTATAAAAAATTTGGAATCAATTTTAACAGTAGATGACCTTCAAACTCAGGAACTACAGGGAAGATTTATCATGGGGTGTGTTGCTGACATAACTCATATTCTTTTTTTTTTTTCATTAGTTGCATGGTCTGTGAGTAATCTATAGTTATTAAGAGAAAGCCTATACCATTAGAAGTTTGTTTTTAAACCAATGATGCATAATGGTAGTCTTATCATTTTGAACAAATTTTCTTGTGCAAATCCTCATGAGCTGTAGGTCTTTTGGAGAGGAGGCACCTATTTAGATCCCGCATAAACATTTCTAGGTAATGTAATGACTTTGAGAGAAGTAGAGGCAGGCCTCCTCTCTTCAAAGTGTGGCCTGTTTGTGCAAAAGCTCAAGACTAGAATAACTCTTTTGGATGTACAAATTAAACCCAACTCTTTGATTATATCAATCAATGTTTTGCATTTAATTTGCTTTGATTTATGCCAAATTATCTATAAGAAAGTATTCATGCTGGAATAGATATTAAAGTTAGTTTAATACTACGAATATGATCCTTTTTTACATTTAAGATGAATGGCAACTTATTTGTTCTTCAAGTTGATCTTCTGACTTGCTTAATGGTTATTCCAGGAGGGCTTGCAGAGATTATGACGTTCCAGAGCCTTCTTTTGGGTGGAAGATCAGAGGTATATGATCAATACAGGGATTGGTGGCTTGAAGTTGATAATATGACATGAGGAATTTCTTGAACTGGGAGGTAAAATTGGATATGTAAATACTAGTTTAAGAGAAGATGAGATATTCCATTGCCTCAGAAAAATTAAGCACTCCTTTATGGAGGATCTGCAATCACATATTCCCACTGAAACAGATTGGAAATGTAGCATTTGTCAAGAAGAATATGTAGTTGATGATGAAGTGGGAAAGCTGGACTGTGACCACAGTTATCACCTATTTTGTATAAAGCAATGGCTTCTGCAGAAGAATGCTTGCCCTGTCTGCAAGGCTGCTGTAGCAGCATACTAAGATTGGAAATCATTCAAGAATATGATGCTGATAATGAGATGGGAAAGCTGGATTGTAGCTAGAGCTATCACATGTTTTGCTTAAACCAGTGGCTTCTGGAGTGCTTGCCTGGCAGCCATGCTGCCAAGTGCCAGCTCAATATTAAGATTGACTTCATTTGAACCTCAGTGTCTGCCAATGGGTATTGGATCAGTGTTTCTCCTTTATTGCTTTTTGTACAGCTTTAGACTGAAATAAGCATGCATCCATTCTTTGTTGTGTAATTCCTCTACCCGTTTGTCTAATATAAAATATTGGGCTTTTGTGGGAGCCACAAACACTTGAAAGTTTACAGCTGTTGTCATCACCATTTCATGGGCAACATTTACATTTCATTCAGTTGTTTTGGTTCCTGTGAGATGAAAATACTTTTAATGCAGTCAAAAGTTACCATTCAAAAAAATTAGTTATATTTAATCTATTTATCATTTTCATTCTTCTGTCTACTGTTAATAGAACTCACATATATATGGATGTGAAACAAGGATCTGCTGCAGTGACAAAAGCTGAGCAGTAGCAGGATTAATTTCAATGATACTGGTAAGACTGCATCAAGACAGACGATGATGAAAAAATCTATCCCCATATCCTCAAATAAAGCCAGCAACAAAAGTAAGAGCATAATTGGACTGGTAGATGGTGAACCTGAGGATGGAAATAAAACAGGAAAGAAGARAAACCTTGGAATAAAAATGGAATCACCAAACCTGCATCAAGTGTTCAATTAATTATAGTGCTTCCACTACTACTTACTATTTTCCCTTTTTTTTCTTTGCCAATGGAGATACTTTCTGGGAGCCAATTTGCACTGAAAATTGCACTCAACACCAGATGGGAATGCTGTAGATGACTTCCCTTCATCTTATGAGTAGGATAAAAAGTCCTGCAGTTGGAAGAAAATTGAGACAGTACCTACTCTGCCCATATTTCTGAAGGTAATGTTTATTACTTTACTAGAGATGGGTTCCTTTAGCTGAAAATTTTCAAGTTTTCACAAATTCTGTAGCTCTAGGGTGTAATAAGAAATGGTTTAACTTCCATGGTTATTGTCTGCAGTTCCAGGATGTCAAATACAAGATAGTTATGAACAAGAGAAGAAGCTCAGATGCTCAGAAGTACATACTCTATGGGATTACGGGTTCAGTGCAACCAGGTTCGTGCAACAATGTCGTGTTTCAGATAACTGAGTCTAGAGTATAGAGTTCATTTTGACCAGAAGGATCTCAGCCCTCATACTTTCAAAAGAACCGAGTCTAGAGTTCATCCAATAAGTGAAGCTGAAGGTGTTGAAATGACAAACAATGTAAATGATTCACAAATAACACTAAGGATTCAAAACTAGGAAGTTTCAGATATTCGACCGGAGGAAGAGGAACCAAGACAACAACAAGGAATCTCCTCCCACAAACTGCAACCCAACTACAAGTTTATATCATATTTGATGGAAAGATTGCCTTGGTTGATCAATATGTGGCTAGCTTTTTGTACAAGCGTAGTTGGAGGATGTGGCCTTGTAATAGACTAATAGTAATATGTGTGCAATGTAAAGTGTGAACACTCTTCAATGATTGTATTGAATTCTTGATTAGAAATGCAAATCAGATTTCAGATTATTAGAATTGATTATATTGAATTCTTGTTTCAGGTTTCAGTTTTAAGCAGGTGTCAACTGATGTTATTATTTAAAAACTAACAAAATCTATGCCGGCAGTCATAGAAACCACCACATTTGACAGATCATTACACTTAAGCTGGCGGTTAATACTATATCTAAGCCGGTGGTCAATATATTTATGGTGGCGGTTTAATTAGATGACAATTTATTCTAAGCTGACGGTTATAAGCGTCGGATTTGATTACATCGTTTACCAAAGGTGGTGGTTTATTAAAATGACAAATGGCTCTAAGCCGGCAGTTATGACTACCAGCTCAATAACTAGGCCGGTAATTAGGTTGTCGTCTAACATACCCTGCCCCGGCAGTTTGGACTGCCACCATACATTCTATAGGTCGACGGTTCTATAAACATCGCTGGCTTATGAATGGTTGGACCGGGTCTATAGGACGGCGGTCTTTGTCTTTTAGGCCGGCATTCATGACCTAGGGCGACGCAACTATAGGTGGCGGCCAATGAACCGTCGGCTTAGGCCTATGCCGGTGTTTCAGCTAATGCCGGCTTAGCTGATTTTTCTTGTATTGACGCCACTCAATCTTTTGCTTCTAACATCCGACTAGGAAGGATCCTGATGAGGGCGAATTTGGCCCTCCAATGACATCATGACACATGGCATCTTGGAACAGCTAGTTGACACATAGACACCACCTGAGCAATGACTTGGAGTCCTAGATCGTGGTTTCTCATCGCCTAGACCTGGCAACCTGCCTTCACCGCCAACCTCGCGACCTCGACCACAACTCAGGTCGGCTAGAAGCACCTCGTCCAGGGCCGACCTGTAGTACCTCGTCACTGGCCGAAGTGACCTCGATGCAAGGAGCGACCTCCCTCGAGGGCGTGCCGGCCTGACTGAGGTCCAGGTGGCGACTTGCGAAACGTGCTTGCTGAAAAATTCAGCATCCATATCCTGACACTCCCACGATTCTTGGAAGTTGGCCCACGTACTGAATGTTCCGGAGGGTGGTCAACGTGCATGATGTTTACCTCCAAGGATTTCAGACCGGTTAGGCACGATCTCCCGGAAATCTCGGATGCGGTGTGTGAGGCCCACACTGAACAATGCCTATATAAAGGCACCAACCCCAAAGACCCAGAGAGGAGAAAAAAGAGAGGTACACGTGATTATTTACTCACTAGCATTCAAGCACTCAAGCATTCAGCTCGCATCCACAGTCTAGTAATGACTTAAGCATCGGAGCAACCTCGTCAGGTTAGCCACCCTGGGTTCTCTGATCTACTATTTTGCAGCTTGGTCCAGCTCGCCGCGCAACTGGAGTTCGGATCGTCTTCTAGTTAGGAGTATCTAGATCGAGCACCATCAATTGGCATCGTTTGTGGGAAACTCTACTAGAAGCTAAGTTCTCACATTCTAAAAGGCTAAGTCCTCTTCTTCTAGAAAGCTAAGATCTCACCTTTTAGAAACTAGAGTTCTCACTTTCTAATTTCCATTTTTATGAACTCAAAGGCACTTTTGAGCAGCATCAACACCTAGAACGAATACCGATTACTGGGGGACAAAAACACCTACGATGAACCTGGAAAACTCCCCTGTGACAAGTAGACAAGTTCAGGCCAAACTTAGCATCCCCATTGCCCTAGATAAATACACCGCTACTATATGTGAACGCCCCACTCCCCACGGTAGAGCCATCAGTGGTTCCCGCCGGGATTGAAGTGTAGTAGTTCTATGAGATGAAGTATGAATTTCTAGATCTGAGCATGGGAGAAGCCCGATGTAGACAACAGCAGAACATCTTAACTCATCCTCAGCAGCAGTTAGCCAGGGTGAGGCCTCATCAGCCCTGTTTCGCGAGGTCACCTCTACAAGACGAACTCTTCGTGGCTTCCACGGGAGTTGGCAACCAACGGACTACATGGACGCCCTTGCAGGTCAAGCCTTCTAAGGCCCCCGTGCGAGCTGGTGACTTAAAGTCAGTAGTGCTGACCCCGTAGGTCGATCTCCTAGTGGCTTCTTGTAGGAGTGGATGATCGGTGTCACTAACGAGGCTGATGCAATGCAGCTGTGGCCCTGAACTGCCGACTCACACCGATAACAACATTATGCCCTCGCAAGGGGGCCAGAACATGTACGTTGTGGTCTCGCAAGTACTCACCCACGAAGATAATCCCACGGGATAACGTAGAAGCAACCATATGAGAAGATACTACAGAATGACCACCCGCTTAGGCGGAAAGGTCAGGTCACACGTCGGCTAAATAACGACAAGGAGAGTAGACCGCGAGTTGCTCCCAGAGCCCAAGGGCTAAGGTGTCGAGCTGATAAAAGACCTCGGCACCACATGAGACCCATTTGCCTCTTCGGCATGGGCAAATAAAAAAGTAACTTGTGCGTAGGTAGGACGGGCACATACCCTACAATGTCTGTTCACTTCGGTGTACATTGAGATCGGGTTATTCCTATTAGAGCCTAACACGTCAGCCCGACACTTCATTAGTAATCCACACTTATCCATGTCAACTTGGGCATATGCCTAGTCACCTCTTAGGCATGGGCAAAATAAAAAAGCAGTTCGCGTTTAGCCTCATCAGTGTGCATATAGTTTGGCACCTCGGGGTAATCCACACTTAGAAAACTTTTACGCAATGGACTGGAGGACAAAATACAACACCTATTCGACATACCATTTGGCCACCATGACAAACGCAAACTTGGCTAATCTCTTCACAGTAGGTCTCTACCTTGGTTTTAGGCTCCGCATTAAACTTACTAGCTACTCTTTTGAGAACCAGTTCAAGTGGTACTGCGTCGAAGTCTACCTAGGTGGAGTGACCTAATAAATTAGTCACGTAGTTAGAACCCCCCTTTGAGGACAGTTGGTAAGTTTCACTCTCGAGGTAATGGTCGGATTGCAGAACCCCTTGATGGTTACATCCCTAATAAGGTAGATGTCCTCGGGATACCTACTTCACCTCTCCTCAAGAGGATGAATTTGCTCTCGTGCCCCGAGAATCAAGATAGCGAGGTCCTGCGTAAGGCAACAAAAACTCGAACTATTCCGATCTGAGAAGTAAATCAGACCAACGCTTGCAACTACGAACTGATCGAATCAGTCATCTTAGGCCAAAAGGAGCAATCTCCTCCCTTCGCCGAGCTACTCTCAGCTTAGGAGTGGGAGGCAATTGATGAGGGCGGATTTGGCCCTCCAATGGCATCATGACACATGGCATCTTGGAACAGCTAGTTGACACATAGACACCACCTAAGCAATGACTTGGAGTCCCAGATCGTGGTTTCTCTTCGCCCAGACCTGGCGAGCTGCCTTCACCGCCAACCTGGCGACCTCGACTACAACTTAGGTCAGCTAGAAGCACCTCGTCCAGGGCCAACCTGCAGCACCTCGTCACTGGCCGAAGTGATCTCGACGCAAGGAGTGACCTCCCTCGAGGGCGTGCCGACCTGATTGAGATCCAAGTGGGGACCTATGAAACGTGCTTGCTGACAAATTCGGCATGCATATCCCGACACTCCCACGATTCTTGGAAGTTGGCTCATGTATCGAATGTTTCAGAGGGTGGTCAACATGCATGATGTTTACCTCCAAGGATTTCAGACCGGTTAGGCATGATCTCTCGGAAATCTTGAATGCAGTGCGTGAGGCCCACACTGAACACTACTTATATAAAGGCACCAACCCCAGAGACCCAAAGAGAAAAAAGAGAGGTACGTGTGATTATTTACTCACTAGCATTCAAGCACTCAAGTATTCAACTCGCATCCACGGTATAGTACTGACTTAAGCATCAGAGCGACCTTGCCGGATTAGCCACCCCGGGTTCTCTGATTTACTATTTTGTATTTGGATCGTCTTCCCGATAGGAGTATCTAGATCGCGCACCATCAGATCCCATTCCAAATCCGAAAGACAAGGAGAACAGATCGCGCACCATCGGACCATATCATTACTTTGATCCTGCTTGCAAGCAAATGGAGCAGCACAAAAAGAAAATGGTGAAGAAATTCATTTCACTCGTTCATGAAGAGCGGGCGAAAAAAGCCGATAACCCAGAACAGACAAAGAAGTTCATTTCAGAGACAGCAAATGATCTGTACCAAGAGGTTGCGAAGGTAGCAGAAGAAGCGAGGGATTGCTACGAGAAAGGTTCAACCAAGGAGTTCAGTGATGAGGAATTCAAACGTTTGATGTTCATGGACGGTTGCTTTGTTGTCTATTTCATTCATTTCATGGTGACCGACGACTCGGAGCAGTTGGAGATGAAGAACGACGACATATATTTCGTAGAAAGTGACTTGTTTCTGATGGAGAACCATCTCCCGTTTTTGGTCCTCCGCACATTGATGAGCTCTGCATACGCTTCAGATGATGAATGGAGGGAAGTCTGAAATGAGAACTTAAAAACAAAAAAAAAATTAAAAATAAAAAATTAATCTAAAAACTATGATAGATATGTGGTTCTGCCTTTTTTTATTCAAAATATGATCGATATTGGCCATAATTCTACTTTTTTTTTTCCATGTCACATAGTTCTGGCAAAATTAGATCGGAGCTCAACTCTCTCAATTAGCCCATAATTCTTTTCAACCGGGGTTGGTTACCTCCTATATTAATGCAATTTCAAATACAAACCCACATAATGGGTAAAATGTAAAGCGAAACAGAAGCAAAACTTTGGCACTAAGGGTATGTTTGGTTTGAAAGAAAAAGTAAGAAAAAATAAAAAAATTTATACAAAATTTGTAAAGATTTTTCTCCCTTTCCTTACTTTTTCCTTAAAACCAAACAACAGTAGGAAGGAGTAATAATACGTATCACAGGTTACCAACATAACCAAAGTGTGAAGATCGGTCTTAAGAGAAAGTCCTAACTGGAAAACTTTCGGTCCTTTTAAATTGTAGCTACAATCACTTTTGACGGTGGATGATGAAACCGCGGCTCCATGTTTTTGTCAAAATTTTTG